AGGCACACTTGCCGCTCGTCCAACGCTTCTGCAAGGACGCACCTCCCGTTGCATCGGCGCAAATGACATCGTATGACGACCTTGTCCAATTTCTTACAAACACTGTATAAACATCCAGTGTTAAATTGTCGTGTACATTCTTAGGATCTTGTTGCGCATCACCAAAAGGGGACGTAGGGGACGTACCAGCACTGTACAGCTTGCTTTTTGGGATCGATAGCGACAAAGCACGCGTTAAAGGGCGACGGCTTCTGGAAGAGCGTACCGCTCTTGCGGGTGCTCTCGTCTGTGAAGAGGTAGACATGCGAGTAGACGTGCACGCCGCCCTGCGGCCCCTTGCGCACAGCCGCGAGTGCCTTGTAAATGGCCTTGGTAACGTCGAGGTACGGCTGGAGCGTCTCGTCCGATTGGCACATGGCGCCGCCGATGACGAGTCGCTTGAAGATCTAGTGCCGGTCAGCGCTGTTGCACACCAAACGACGCACCTGGAAGATGAGTTCGCGCTGCTCGGCCGCCGTAAACAAGTGCGCGTGCTCCGAGTCGCAGTTGGCCATCATTTCGCGGACGCTGTCACTCACTGTGCAGTGCTCGTACACCTCGTCCAAGCACTTGCGCAGGTAGCCGCCGCTGGACACGAGGCCTACGCATCGAACCTCGGTACGTTCTCTTCTATATACTTGATCGCACCAGGCTCGTCAGCAAGCTTATCGAAAAAGGCCAAGCTCGTGACAGTCGTGGCGAGTCGCTCGAACGAAAGACCGTCCAACGTCGTCGGTGTCGAGGCGGGCACCTACGACAGGATGGGTTGCAATCAATACGACAGGAGCGCATACATACAGTGAGATGATCGCGCACAACAGGACTTTCAAAGAAGCAGCGGAGGAACGCCGCGTCATCGTTTGGATCAAAGGGACAGCTGGGCCGGAAGCGCCCGACGCGGCCATGTTCGTCCAAGTTCCTATTCGAGAACGCTCGCCAGTTCGTCGTCGCATCGCGGGACCGTACCATTGCATGAGCTTGACCTTGACGTCGGTAGATGTCCATTGCGGCAGCGCAGTCGGTAGCAACTCAAAGGCGTAGACCGCATCGTCCGTCGGCTCCATACTCGGATCTCAATCGATGGAATGTGTCTGTCCAAGATACGCGCAGCAAATACTGTGACTATTAAATAGTGTCATAAATGCTTTCTCTGTTGTACAAAGCCATGGCACAAAGCGTGCACCAATTGTACACTAGCACCAAGTGTGTTGCACCGTGTCAATCCTCATCCAACGGTCGAAGCAACCAGAGCTCCGTCGTGTACCGGTGTACCGGGTACTCTATTCTGGTACACCTGTCGAGTTTGACACTATTTGCGTATTTAATGCAGTATCCCTCTTGAGTAGCGTCGAGATTGCAGTTGGTCACGAAGCGGCGCGAGGCGCGACGGCCGCTGGCACGGGGCACGATAGGCATGCGACCATCGCGTGCAGACCGCGGTCCTTGGCGAGATCCAAGGCTGCCGAAACGTTGCACTGGGGTAGGCGCTGCTGGCAGAGGTAGCTGACAACGTCGGTATGCCCATGGGCGACAGCATCCAGAAGGGCGTTCGCCGTGCAGCCTTCTCGCCGGTACGTGTGCAGAAACATGGCCACGTCGAGGAATCCGTGGCGGCAAGCGAGGTCCAATGCATCGGTGGTGCATCCTTCCTCCCGATGCGAATGCAGGAAGCGGACGACGTCGAGGTGCCCATTGGATGCAGCGTCGTCCATGGCGTCCGTCGTGCAGCCTTCGCTGCGCATGGCATGCAAGAAGGCGACGACCGGCAAGTACCCACGGCGCGCCGCGTCATTCATTGCGTCGACCGAGCAGCCTTCGTGGCGGTGCTCGTGCAAGAAAGCGACGACCGGCAAATGGCCACCGCCGGCCGCAAAGTCCATCGTGCGGTGCGAAAAGCCGGCAGCGTCGTGCTCGTGCAGTAGCTGCAACAAGCGCAGCTGGCCATGCCACGCAACATGGTCAATCGCCTCGGCGCTGCAGCTACACACTCCCTTGTCACCCTCGGTAGATAAAGACGACGACGATGTACCCTTCGTGGCGGTGTGCCAACAAGAACGCTGCCATCTCGACGTTGCCGTCGCGCAGTGCTGCATTCAGAGCAAATCTTGTACATCCTTCGGTGCGATGTGTGTGCAAAAAGTCAACCACGTCCAAGAAACCGGCCTGCGACGCGGCGTCCATCGCCGACGTCGAGCAGCTGCAGCCGAGATCGTGGAGCACGCGGACAACATCGAGGTGCCCAAACGAGGCTGCGAGATCCATCGCATCGGTGTTGAAGAGGTGGGGCACGCAGCGAAAGAGGCGGGCGACGATACCTGGCTTCCTGCGCGCAATCGCCATGTGGAGTGCGCTCTTGGACGCGTCCTTGGCGTAAAACCCGCGATAGTAGCGCGCGTGAAAGTACGGCAAGAGGTCTTCAAAGACGCCAGCTTGGTACTGCAAGACTAGCGGGAGGAGGTCCCGCGACGTGCACACGACGTGCGACGCCATGACTTGAACAATGGCGACGGCAGACGCGCGCCACCTAATTATAGGCAACGTACGCGAGCTATTTCTGCGCTGTGGCGCTAGAAAGGCCAAGCCCTATTTTTCTTGTCACGGGTTCATTGTGTAATTTACTCGGTGTTTTTCTGGCTTGATGCCCAAGGTCCTTATTTTATGGAGTACTGCGTTCAACTTCGTGTGCCATGAAACTCCTAGCTTTGCCTAGTGTCTACATGCACAGGGTGTAAGACAGTACGCTCGCCGATTGGACGGGACGCTGACCCTTGCGTTCCAACACGCCGGACTCGGCGTGTCAAAAGGTTGACCGGCGTCAATATGCGAGCGTAGAACCTGGTAGTACAATTGTGAAGACAGAGATGCAGGGGCAGAAAGCGTCGAGCTTGCAAGAGAAACCACGGAATTTACCTTCGATCGCCGAATCCGCCGTGCTCGACCGCGTCCTGATTAAGCTCTGCCTCGCTGCAATCATTGCTTACGTGAATAAGATCTGTGTTTCGAATAGTGATTGGTCATGTAAAAAATCGAATCGCCAATCAAGTGTCTCCTTTTTCGAATGCGCTCGATTCGGGCCATGTCACGCACTGCATAGATAGCCATCCCGTCGTCTCGGGTCGATCTCCTGCTTCCTTCTCCACGCAAGCGTGGGTCGTCGAAACTGGAAAAGCAGTGGCCCACAAGGTGCTTTCGCATCGAGAGAGTTGCAAGTGAGCTTTGCATCCTTGCGGAATCGACCCATCGACTGCGATGCCAAATCTGTACTAGTCCTACAAGCTCTCAAGTACCACGAATGACCATAGACCTCGGTTCATTGCAGCCTAGGGAATACAAATGATTTCATCCCCTTGATGGCAGCCTGGCAGCGCGCGTCGTGGGTCGTTGCACGCCTGAAAATAGCGTCTTTCCGGATACGTCAACCGGCTGCGGTTGCACGAACGCCTTTCTGGCCAACTCCAGTTTCAGCTTGGCACCGAGAAACCGATCGCCCGTGGTGGCGGAGATGAAGAAGGTGAGCGAGAAGCGGGCTGTGAACTTGCCCAAGATACCGAGCCATTACGATGGCGCGCCATCCGAGCCCCCGCCTGTCAACGCGTCGCCGCGCCGCGGCAAGGGCATCAAGACCATCGAGATGGACATGGGCACGATGCCAATGCTCACGTCCGTGGGCCCAACGACGCCGACGTCGGGCGGTCGCCCACCCAGCATCCGCACACGGAAGCTCGAAGAGCAGAGTGGGCCGCCCAGCGACAATGGGTTTGGGGCCGTGCCTCCCGCGAACGCGGCGTACGACGTGGACCTCTCGGCGCTCGACTCGGAGATTGAAAAGCTGAAGCAGATTGCAGCCAACGCCGAGAGTCATGTCGACATGATCTACAGCAACGACGCCAAGCGCAAGGGCTACTACAAACAGATTAGGTACATCCGACACCGACACACGTGGTATGATCCCCCTTTTTAGTAGCGAAATGGGCTACATGGAGCAGGAAATATCGCTGCAAAAACGAGAAATGTACCACAAATCTCTGAAATATGCCAGTCGCTCATTGAATCGCGACGTATAGCTCGCTTCAAGTCGACAAGCTCGAGAATGACAAGAAGCACCTGGAGATCATCTCCGCGACCAAGGAGCTTCAAGTCATCGCCCTCGAGAAAGAGCGCGGACAGCTCCACGATGCACTGCGCATGCAAGGCGAAGCCCATGCACGTGAATTGGCAACGCGGGAGGCGGCCTTGCACAAGGTCGAGGCCCAGCTGCGCGACAGCCAAAAACGTTCGTGTTGATATCTTGATACTTTGCGCGACACGAACCTTTGTTTAGTGCTGGGCGACACAGAAGACAGTTTAATGTCTGCGCGCGTTCTGAATGACGAGATCGCCACCAGCCTCAAGAAGCGGACGTCCGACTTGGAGCACACGCGCGGTGCGCTCGAAGTCGCACAAAAGACGTGCGAGCTGCACAACGCGACGCTGGCCGCCCAAGCCAAGCGGTTCGAGTCGCTCGACGCGGCGCTTTTGCTTGCCCAGGGCAACATGCAGTAGGATCCTCCTTGACCTTCATCTGTTGCGATGTACGGCTCTGTGTAGACAACTCGAGTCGCGGACGGCCGAGCAGAAAGCCATGATCAAGCAGTACAAAGAGGACAGTGTGGGCCATATCGGAGCGCAAGACAAGCTCCGTGCCGAGCTCAAGACGGCGACGGACGCGCGGCAGCAGCTCACCAGCCAAGTCAAAGTCCTTGAAAAGTCGATCGCTACGTACAAGCGCCAGCAAGCCAAGCTCGAAGCGGCCAAGACGGCGCAGGACGCACAGCTCGCGGCCGCACGCACCAAATGCAAGGTACAACACTGCGAATACTCAACACTTGGCACGATGGGTACAAAATTAGATGCACAAGGAGACGGTCGATGGCCAAGCTTCTACGACGCCAAGAAGACGCGCTCGTGGCCCAAACGCTGTCGCACGTGGTCGACACGGCGACCATTGACGCGCAGGAAGCCCACATTGCCTCGCTCGAGGCGACGTGCGCCCACCAAGCGGCCGAACTTGGCGTTTTTGAGACCAAAATGCGTGCCGGTGAAGCCCAGCACATGAAGAACCGGTATGTTCGCACTTCTTTTCCCGTGCAGCGCATTGAAAAGATCGAAATTAGATCCCTCATTGAGCTGCTGGAGACGAAAGTCCAAGGGCTCACAGACGTCATTGGACGGCAGGATAAGGAAATTCTCGTCAGCCGCGATCGGGTTCTTGTCCAAGACGCTCTCCTCGCGGCCAAGGACGCGGAGCTTGTGACGCTCAAGGTGACCTGTGACACGCAAGCACGGGACCTCGCGGCTCAAATTGAGGCCCACCGCAGTGCAACCGCGGTAGGCTGTTCACCCTATGGTTTGTATTGAAAAATGGGTAGGTTCACGCAGGCGTCGTCGCCGGTATGCGCGCGGGTAGCGACGAAATGGCGGCACGCTTTGACGCGCTTCAGATGGACTTTGAAGCCAAAGTGCTTGAGAGCGAAGACCGGTTCCGCAAGACGCGCGATCTCGAAGCTCAAGTACGCGCGGCCGAGGCTCTCGCCTCCGCGACCACCGACCAGCTCAAAGCGCGCGAGGCAGAGTTTGCGGCCAACCGCGCGCAGCTGGAGCTCCAGGCCACGCAAGCCCAAGACGCGTTCGCCGCGCAACTGCAAGCCGCCAACGCCGATGCGGCGGCCCGGATCGCGGCCGTCGACAACGAGAAGGCTCAAGTCGAAGCCGCGCTCCGGAACGCCGAGTCAGCGCTGCGCCACGTCGAGGAAGCCAACGCCGAGATGAAGGCCGCGTACGAGCAGACGGTGCGAGCGCGGGCCGAGACGATCGAGCAGGACGAAGAGCGCATCCACTTGCTCGAGATTCAAATCAAAATGAACGCTGAACAGGCCATCAAGCGTCGACAGGTGCTACAAGACGAGCTGGACCGCGCCCACAACGAGTATCGCGAGGTGATCTCTTACCTGTGCACGCAACGTCTCAACATGCTGGGTAGAAATTACGCACGACCGAGCGGTCGTATGCCCTCGACGTCGAGCGACTCGACGCGGCCCGGATCGCGGTACGAACGTCGACGCGTGTGTCTGTCTAACGGACGTGACGTAGGAGCGCTCGGCGAGTGCTGCGGCAGCCGCGACGATGGAAGCAAGCTTGCGCAGCGACATTGCCGCTCTCACACAGCAGTTGGCAACGGAACGCCAAGCCGCCGCCGACTCGAGCGCATCCTTGCTGGGCCAGCTCGTGGCCAAGCAAGACGAGTGCGAGCAAGCCCACGCGTCCACCATCGCGCTCGCCACCAAGCTCGAGGCCGACACAACAAGCTTTACGAATCAAATATCCATGCTCAAAGAAGAGGTTGCGGCGATGCTAGAGGCACGCGCCACGCTCCAAGAGACGATCACCAACAACGCCATCGCGCTCGCCGAGTGCCACAGCCACCACCGAGCCGAGATCGAGGAGCTGCAGGCATCCCACGACGACATCCTCGCCAAGCGTCAAACGGCGTCCGTCGCAGCGCTCAACGCGTGCGAAGCCGACTGGCGCCGGCGGTATACGACGCTCGTGGCCGAAACCAACGACCGTTGTGCCGTCGCGACGGCGGTGCACGCGGATGCCGTCGCGGCCCTTGAATCCAAGAGTGCCGAGGCCCTCAAAGCAGCGAAAGAGGCGTACGAAGCTCAAGTGGCGCCTCTGCGCGAGGCCCAGCGGCTTTTAATCATGCAGCACGAAGACGAGATCGGGCACTGCCACGAGATGTACATGGCGCAGCTCACGCATTGGCACGCGACGTACCAAGGCGAGCTCGCGCACTGGCACGCCACGTATCAAGGCAAACTCGATGGGAAGCAAGACATGTACGACACGGATTTGACAGCTTGCCATGCAAGGTACAAGCAGCAGCTCGAAGCCGCGGCGATCGACGCCGAAGCGGCGCTGGACGCAACGATTGCAGCGTCGGCGACGGCGTTGGCGGCTAGAGTCCAAGCGCACGCCAGTGCGATGGCCGAGACCACGGCGTCGTACGAAGCCGAGGTGGCGTCGGTCAAGGCAGAGAAGGACGCACTCGCGCTGACCCTCGCGACGACGACGGCGGCCTTGCAAGACCAGTTGGCGAGCGCGATGTTGACGGCAGAAAAGCAGCTCGCCGCCACGACCGCCGCGGCTGACGTCAAGTACAACGCGGCGGTCGAGTTGCACGACGCACAGGGCGCGGCGGCGAGCGCCCGCCTCGCCGAGACTATCGCCAAGTACGAAGCCGATCTCGCGCACTGGCATGCCACGTACCAAGGCCAGTTGGCGACGGCCAAGGCGACGCACGAGCGAGAGTACGCGGCGTGCGTCGACGACTACGCGGGCCGCTTAACCGCGAGCACGGCTGCGTACGAAGCCCAGCTGATCGAAACACATGCATCGTACGCCGAGCAAATGGCCGAGGCCAGCGCCGAGCACAAGCACAAGCTGGCGACGACCGAGGCGGCGTTAAAAGCCCAGATCGAAGCCACGGAGGTGGCGCTTAAGAACAAGCTTGGGTCCAGCGAAGCGAGCTACAAGGCGGCGATTGAGGCCACCGAGTGCGCGCTCAAGGCCAAACTCGCGTCCACCGAGGCGTTCTACCAAGACAAGCTTCTCCGCACCGAGACGAGCCTCAAGGACAAGATCGAGGCGACCGAATCCTCGTACAAAGCCAAGCTCGAGGCGGCCGAGACCAGCGGCAAAGAGCGCTTGATGGCGGCCGAGGCGATCGCTGCGGCCGAGCTCGCGACCTCGATTGCTGCGTACCAAAGCCAGTTGAGCGCCGCTAAGGCCGTGTACGACAAGAACATGGCCGACACGCTGGCGTCCTCAGCAGCGACGCTCGAGGCCGCCAATGCAAAGAGCGCATCGCAGACCGCCGCGCTCGAAGAGACCTTGGCGTCGACGATCGCGTCCTACAAAGAGCAGCTAGCAACGCTCCGGGCCGAGACGGCCGATGCGTTGCGCTTGAGCCATTTGACGCACGAGGAGCAGCTCGCGAGTTGCAAGCGCGAGTACGAGTCGACGCTCAAGCAGCGCCAGGACGCTTACGAAGAGACGTTGGCGCACTGCACGGCCGAGTACGAGGACGGCATGGCGGCGCGCAAGGCCCAGTACGAAGAGGTCCTGGCCAAGCGAAAGGAAGTGTACGACGAGACGCTCGCCGCGCGCAAGCACGAGTTCGAGACAACGCTCATGAGTCGCCACTTCGAGTACGAGTCGACGCTCGGGAGCCGCCAGTTTGAGTACGACTCGACGCTCGCGCATCGCCAGGCCGAGTATGAAGCGACGCTAGCTCGGCGCAAGCAAGAGCACGACGACGCGATTGCCGCCACGATTGCCTCGTACGACACGCAGGTGACCGGGTACGAAGGCCAGGTCGGCGAGATGAAGGCGCGTTACGAAGCACAACTCAGCGAGACCATTGCGCGCTACGAAATGCAGCTCACCGAGTACGCGGGCCGGTGCGCGAGCCAGCTCGCGTCGTCGTCGTCAATGTACGAGACGCAGCTCAACAAGTGCAAAGTGGGGTACGAGATCCAGCTGCAGAGCGCCGTCGCCAACCACGAAGCGTCGTTGGCCGAAACGAGCGCAAGATACGAAGCCACGCTCGCGACGCGAACGACGTCGCTTGAAGCGCAGCGGGCGGACCTCGAAGCGCGCGTATCTGACGCCGAGACGATGCTCCGCGAGTCCACGGCCACGTACGAAGGGCGGCTAGAAGAGATGGAGTCCGACTATGAGACCCAGCTGCGGCTTATGGAAGCCGACTACGAGTCACGGCTTAGCGACGCCAGCGCCGAGCACAGCGCGACGCTCAGCGATATGACGGCCAAGTACGAAGCCCGGTTGAGCGACAACACGTCGGCGTACGAGCATCAGCTTCACGAGACCATTGCTCGGCTCGAGGCAAGCATTGCCGAGACAGCGGCGGCCCACGACGCGCAGCGGACCGAGTTATCCGCCGCGCACCAAGCCCAACTGGCTGACGTGGTCGCTAGCTACGCCGCTAGCTACGCCGCACAGATTGCATCCAACCAAGCCGAGCTGGCCGAGACCAAGACTGCGCTCGAGACCCAGCTACACGACAGCGCCGCAGCGCACGAAGCAACGTTCACCGAAACCGCTACGCGGCTCCAAGCCGAGCTCGACGAGACAAGAACGCGGTTGGAAGCCGAGCTGCGTGCGGCCAAGGACGCGCACAGCACAGACGTGGCGACAATGACAGTAGCATACGAAACCAAACTCCGTGAGACGACCGAGGGTCTCGAAACACGCCTCCGCGCGACCACCACCGACTTTGAGAACGAACGACTCGACAACAAGCGGAGCTGCGACGCGCAATTGACCGAGGTGGCGGCGCGCTATGAAGTCCAGCTGCGCGATGCCACGTACCGCTACGAGGCGCGGATGGCCGATGCGGTTGTGCAGCACCAAGCCGCCACCGACGCCAAGGCCGCGGCGCACACAGCCGAGGTCGAGGCCTTGACAACCGAGCTATCGGCGACGACTGAGCGGTATGAGGTGCGGCTGCGCGACGTCACTGCCGGCTACGAGACGCTCTTGAGTGATACAAAGGCCGAGTACGAAGCTCGGATCGCCGCCCTTGTGGCATCGAGCGCTGCCGAGCTCTTGGAGACGAAAACAGCGCTAGAGACGCAGCTTCTCGATACGAAAACATCGCTCGAGACACAGCTGCTCGACGCGACGTCGTCCCTCGAACGCCAGCTGCAGCGGACGACCGAGCACTACGAGACGCTTCTCGCCGACTCGACGAGTCGATACGAAGAGGAGATGGCGACGACCACGCGCCACTACGAGACGCAGCTCAATGATACGGTGGCAAAGTACTCGGCCGAGCTCTCCGAGACCTCGAGTCGCCTCGAAGCCCAGCTTGCCGAGGCGACGCGTGTGCACACGACCGAGCTCGCCGACACAAAGTCAGCTCTGGAGACCCAGCTCCGAGACGCATCGGCCATTGCCGCCGCCGAGCGCGCCGCGGCGACGAGCGCCCATGAGAACGAGATGGCATCCACCACGAGTCGGTACGAAGCCCAGCTCTCGGCGCTGCAAGCATCCACGGACGCATCGCTGCGCGAGACCTCGGCCACGTACGAGACAACGTTGAGGACCCAAACAAGCCAGTACGAAGCAACCCTTATGGAGACCACATCGCGCTACGAGGCGACGTTGCGTGACGCCGCCGCGGCCCACGACGCCGCGCTGGCGAGCGCGACGGCGCATTACGAAGGCCTTTTGCACGACAAGACGACGTCGTATGAAGCCGAGCTCAGCAGCACCAAGAGCAGCTACGAGAGCACGCTTCGTTCGACTACGTCGCGGTACGAGTCGCAGCTGAGCGAGACCACCATGCGCTATGAGACGCAACTCCGAGAGACCACAACACACTATGAGACGCACCTGAGCGACACAACCACCCGGTACGAGACGCAGCTGCGCGAGACGAAGCGGGCGTACGAAGGCCAGCTCACCGACACGACGTCCCGCTGCGAGACCGAGACGCGCGGGACCAAGTCAACGTATGAAACAACGCTTCGGGAGACGACGCTCCGATACGAGACCGAGCTCATTGACGTCAGGAGCGCGTACGAAGCGCAATTGAGCGCGCTGAAAACAGCGTACGAGACGCAGCTGAGTGACCTCAAGTCCAACGCGGCGCTGACACTTTCCGAGACAAATGCTGCGGCGCAGGCGACGCTGAGCAGCTGCACCACCAGCTACGAGACGCAGCTCAGCGAGTCAAAAGCGTCGTACGAAGCCCAGCTGGCAGAGTCCAAAGCCTCGTACGAGCAGCAGATTCGATCGAATCAAGCGTTTTATGACGCCCAGTGCGCGGCGAGCCTCGAGGCGTACCACGCCGACATTGACCGGGCCAATACCGCGTGCGAGGCATCCTTGGACGCGATGAAGGACGCGAATGCGAGCCTTGTCTCGCGCTTGGAAAAGCAGATTGCCGACCTCGAGGCAGCCCACGACGCGGCGACAAGCGTGGCCAAGGACGCTCACGCCGCCGCGATCGCCGAGTTGCATCAACAGCTCCACGTGGTACAGCAAGACCATGCCGTGGCGCTGGCGGCGACAACCGCCGCGCTCGAAGCACAGATTGCGGCCCTTACGGCGACACACGACAAGGAGCGGTGTACATGGCAAGAGACCCGCGCCCGCGACGCCGAGGCGGCCAACGAAGCGTACAGCACCGTTGCGATGACGGCAGAAGCACTCGAGACCCGTGCGCGGCTCCTCTCTGTACAAGTCTCTACTCATTTGTATATCTAGAGCTTTTGGCCACCTCGGAAGGCTGGGACACGACACAAGAGGCACTGCGATCGCTTCGGCAAGTGCACGAAAAGTCCATCACATCGCACAAGCAAGAATCCACCGAGCAAAACGAGCTGCGCGTGACGCTTTTTCAAGGTTCAAAGCGCCGAATGGCGACTAAGACGCATCACTTACGATGTGTTAGAACTTGCGGGGCTGGGTCAAGACCTCACAGCGGCGCTCACGGGAAATTTTGTGCTCAAACGCATGAAAGAAGCGTGGATGCCACTACTGAGTGAGCAGTACCACCCCAACTTGAGCGCCGAGTGCGATGCGATGGCGAGTCTCGACGACCTCCAAGCGTTCGTGGCCGCGATCCTCGACCTCGCGACCGAGGCACAGCGCTTTGCCAAGGTGTCTGGCCGCCTCATGAGCATGGAGGCCCTCGATGCTGTTGTTCGCGACAATGACAAGCTCTGGAGCAGCCTCGGAGACACCAAAGACCGCGTCGCCAGCATCGACCACGTGATTCAAGTCGTCTTGGAGCACGACCAACTGCTTCATGCGTACCCGAGTGTCCTCACCGATGTCGGCGGTACACCGAGCGCGGCACATGTCCTCTCGGTACTTCAGACGTACCAAACGATCCGCGTCGAAGCAGGTCGAATTCTTCAAGCCTCGTACGCATTATCTTATTGTGCCGCTTGGATTGAAAAGACTCATGATTTTATCTGGTAGGGGTCTTTTAAACGAGCCCGAGATCCTCTCTGCGCTCCGCGAGTGGCAGTCGTGCCGAACCCATGTCGCGCAAGGTACGAAGTAACGCGACTAATAGATGTCGTCTGATGTGTCTGGGATGTGTAGCACTGGGGTGTGGGCGACCGACGTGCACGGAGGCAGAGATGGTGGCATTCATTGAAGAATTTGTGAGTCTTCAAACCCAACTCAAGTCGCGTCTCCAGCTCCCAAAGGTATGGTTTGATGTTGAGTTTAGATTTGTGTTAAAGATCGACATGCGTAGATTGGCGCCGTGGAGATCTACCACTACATTGACGAGTACCAGAGCCATTTGACCCAAGCCGGTATTGCACTTGCCAAGGAGAACGTCGATACCGCGACGCTCCTCGACCTTGTGGACGAATATGAAAAGCTCCGTGTCCAAGTCGCTGCCACCGTCAACACGGAGAAGGCGCTCACCAACGCCAAGTCGATCCTGGGGCTCGTCCAAGACTTTCACAAGGTTCGCGTCACCGTGACGCACACGCTCGCGCCGAATGCGTCGGAGACACTCATCTCGGCCGACGGCATCATCAAGGTCGGACATGATCACGTCATTTTGGAGATGTCATCGTGCGTAGGTCATCGAAGAGAGCCGCAAATTGCGTGTTGACATTGCGGCGATCTGGGCCACGGATGTTGCCGACGTTGCGAACGCACATATCACAGCGGCGCTCCAAGAAGCGTACACGTTTCGCAACCAAGTGTCGGCGATCCTCCACGTGCCCCGGGACACGCTCAACCACGCACAGATCATGCGTCTCCTCCAAGAGTACACGCAACTCAAGCTCGACGTCGCGAGCCAGTTGCGCATGACTGAGGCGGTCTTGCACGCCAAGGACATTTTGCACGTGATTGAAACCCACCAAACGCTCCGTGCCGACGTACTACCATTATTTCTTTTGCTTGTTTATCATTGCAACCCATCGTAGGTCACTAAACTCTGGAGCTCGAGCGAGACGACGCTATGGAGCACGCCCAAGGAGATTCTTGGCTACATTGGCGACTACCGGGACCTCCGCGCCCGAGCTGCGACCGCCTTGGGCCGCGACGGCCTCTGCACTCCGGACGAAATCGTCAATGTCCTCGCGTCGTTTGTCGAGCTCGGTGCCAAGCACCGCGACATGGCGCGCCAGAAAATGAACACAGACGCCAACAACAATGCACTGCAAGGCTCGATGGAGCTCATGCAAAAAGCGCTCCAAGACTACGAGGTATGTTCAACAACCCATTTCTTAGAATGGACATGAATCGTCCACATTAGACGCGGCTGTCGGCGCTCGGTGCCAAGTACTCGTGTCCGTTCCAGGCGACGCCTGAGAGCACGGCGACCTTCTTTGTTGCCCTCGACCGAAAGCTCCAGGAAGGCCGGGACATGGACGTGGCATTCTACCGCCGAAAACAGGCCCACGAACAAGATCTTGCGCACCACATCGCGGCCATGGAAGCTGTGCAGCGGGAGGCCGCCGCGACGCTTGATGCGACGCTTCGAGACTGGGCAGCGGTAGAATTCGTCTTATTTTCTTGAAAGATGCTGAGTCGCAGTCGCTAGAAACTGGAAAAGGCCGAGAAGGCGCGCATCACGGACGTGGCGACGGTGCAGCAGACAAGCCGTGACGCGCTCGAGGCGACCAAGACCGACTGCGCGGCACAGATTGCGCGCGTGACGGCCGAGACGCGTGGTCACTTGACGCAGCTCGAAGCCGAAGTCGCGGCATTGCGCAACGCCAAACTCAAAGAGCAAAACGATTACGATGCGACAATGTCGTATCTCCAGTCGGCACTCAACGTACGTAGCCCTTTCGGTTTGTGGACAGATTGTCATATGCATTGTAGACACACGCGGCAGGCGACACCAACAAAGACCCGCAAGACAAGGCCGCATTTTTTGCGCGGTTTGTAGACCGCGACCGCATGCTCATGGAGCTCGTGTACACGTCAATTCGCAGCGTGACGCAATTGTTGACGCCGCCGAAAACGTACGAATGGGACCTGTCATGCCACGTTACCGATCTTCTTCATTGATAGGAGCACCTTTGTGTTGCCGACAGAGCTCTCGCAAGCGATCCTCGGGTGCATCAAGGAGCTCAAGCGCATGAAGGAGTTTGTGTTGGGCTCCTTCGACGCCCTCCAGCGGGACCTCGCGCCGTTCTTACCCTTTGATGTACAACCATCACCCTCTTGGGCTTGGTTCAAACGCGTTCTTATAGGTGCAATGGTACACGGTCGAATGGACGCCTGGCACCGACATTGTGCCCTGGTACATTGACAGCTTGGAAAAGACCAACGCGGTCGCGCGACTTCAATTCCACCTCTTCCTCGCCAAGGCCAACACGATCCTCAACGTCGCCATGAGCACGCAGCGCGAGCGCACGCTCGATGTGCTCCAGTTCCTCCGGCGGTCGGTCGCGCAAGACCCAGCGTCTGCCGAGAAGGACGCGCGGGTTTTGCAGCTGCAGCTCGCCGACGCGGTGGCTGAGAAGGAGACCACCGCGATGGAAGTCGCGCTGAAAGACAGCTTCTTCAAAGAGCTGCTCTCGCAGCACGAAGCGATTGCCAAGGAAATGCAAGCCAAGCTCGAGGCCTACCATACCCTCCTCGTGCACCAAGCCGCCGCCAACCAAAGCATGCTATTGCCCGCGACCGCCGCGCCGCTCAAGATCGACACCAAGCTCGAGCGAGCCATGCCAGGCTTCCGTCCGATTCCGCGCCCCAAGTGGCAGGAAGACGACGCGACGACAATCACCACATCCAACGGCAAGACACTCAAGGAGCGATTCGTGAGCGACTTGGCCACCGAGACGGGCCAGAACGCCACGCAGAGCATGGCGGCGCTGCGCAAGGCGGGCAGCCTCGCGTTCGCTCCGACGATGAAGCTCGAGCGCCGACCGACACAGCCGTATGCGCCAGTGGCAGCCAGGACGCCGCCGCCGTCGGGTACGACCTTGAGCACAGCAGCGCTATTGTACCAGGGCGTCAAGAACGTCGGCGGCGCGTCCGTCTCGGTCGCGATCGGCTACACGCCGACCAAGCTCGGGCTCCTTGTCGACGTCTTCAATATTGATACCGAGACGCTGCAAGCGATTGAAGTCTCAAGTGCGTCACCGCTGTTGCAGCGCTTTGAGAAGCCGCTCGTACGACAAGAGTTGCCTCTGCTGTCGTGTGCTCATGGTGTGTGATGTGCATAGGTCGAACTCTCGAGCGTCGAACGAACGCAGCTCGTGGAGCTTATCCTTGCGCGCTTGACGCGCCTCTCTTCGAGTTCGGGCGGTCAATTTGAGATTGACGACCAACTCTAGTCGTCTACTGTACTATGTTTTTGTATACATATTGTCTGTTTCTGAATGTCAATTCTGTTTCCAAGACACCGCTTTTGACCTGCGCATCAAGTTAAAGTCGGCGTGTGCCGACAATAGACCAACAAGCGAAGCTCCAGCGCCGTAGCGCCCACGAACGGTTTGCGTGCGCTGCGATGGACACGCAAACACAAATTGCCTTCTTGCATCGTGCTGCCATCATCAATGTGCCATCATGCCGTATCGTTGCATGCCACATTTACCACGTCTTATTTTCGGCATCCTAGCCCCGAGTGTCGAGACCCGAGCATGCTGGCAGCTTGTAGCGTCTACCGGGCGGCCCGCGCGGGTCGCCGCTACATCCACGTCGTCGGTCGCCTCACCGAGGTACGCATCCTTGCTTGCATCTTGTCGATGTCTTATGGGCGCAGGTCCCGGCAGGCGCGCTGCCCGACATCGGCGTCGGCGCCGAGATCCACCACACGTTCCACGCCCATGACGTCGAGGCCTTTGCGACCTTGACGGGCGATACGAACCCGCTCCACCTTGACCCGACCTTCTGCGCCACGACGCCCTTTGGCAAGCCGGTCGTCCATGGCATCCTCGTGTCGAGCCTGTTTCCGACGGTCTTTGGCGCGACCATGCCAGGCTCCGTGTACGTGAGCCAGAGCCTCCGCTTCCACAAGCCCATCTTCGTAAACGACCCGCTCACGATCCGCATTGAGGTGACGCAGGTGAAGGCGCGCATGCGCCTCGTTGTCTGCGCAACGCAGTGCGTGAATAAGGAAGGCGAGATCGCCATCTCAGGCGAAGCCAAGGTGCTCATCGCCAAGCCCGTGGACGAGGAAGCAGATTAATGCACGTAGAAAAGGCATTGGCACTCGTTCTACATTTAATAGGTGTCAAGGGTCCTGCTTAGTGCGACTCCTTCTTCGGGGCTTCGCGCCAGATGGTCTTGACCGACTCCGTGATGCCGACGCCGTTGACGTTGACGACCATGAGGCCGAGGAAGAAGGCCGCCGAGCCCGCGAGCGCCGAGAGGCGGAACGGGAGCTGGTGCACCTTGGGGATGTAGTCCGAGAGGACCGCGTTCATGCTGACGTGCGCATGGATCGGGATCAAGACGCCGAGCGCATAGTCGACCGGCGTGTTGAGCGCCGACGGGCTGAGAGCCAAGGCAAAAGGGATCAAGGCAAGGATACCCGCGCCAGCGACCTTGCCAGCCTTGATCATGGCCGTCGAGTTGTCAGCTAGGATGACCATCATGAGCCCACGGTCGTCCTCGACCTCGTCGACGTACCATAGACGACCGCCGAGACGCCATGGTTCTGGTGGTTCTCGGTGAACTTGATGGGGTTGCCTGGCATCGTCGTCATGAGCCTCATGTACCTCGGAGAGGAGCATGCATACCCTTGCGGAAGCCGCGGGTCTGCATCACGACGCGGCGCGGGGTAGCGGTCAGGCGGGACATCATCATGATCCTTCGTCGGCTTCCAAGTCAGAAATAAATGGAAGGCAAGCGAACGAATTAGCGGTTGGAATTCCCCTACGTTCGTTTTCAGACTTTACTGGGTAGGGAGGGTCAAAAATAGTACCATACAATCTTGAAGACAGTATGACTGGTCACCCCTGGGGGGCCCAGTCCGCCCCTACGTGGCACGCCGAGGTCGCATATTCTATGGCTAGACGCACCCAAATACCGGGACGCAACGACCTCCCGACATCGTCGTGCGCGCAGCTGGCGGGTGATGATACACGGCAGCAATGTCCGCTGCAACGCCATATTCAGCTTAACTATTTCTAGGCTACGTTAGCCCTTTAAGCGCACCTCACACGGAAGTGAATGCGATGGTCCGTATAAAATCATGGCGTCAACTCGGTATGTGGGCATTGGATGTGTGAAGAGCAGACAGACACGCTGCCGAGGCTCGTTAGATCCTTGAGGCCTACAGCAGCAACCCTGAGAGTATGCAAATGCATGCTATAGTAGTGTACCTAGTTCGTCGAACGCGTCCTCGGGCATGAGCCGCACCGAGCCTACTGCAGCCGTTGACCTCAAGTTCAAGGTGGGATATGTTGGGTGTTCCTAGTCAATTAATTTTGTCGCCCAAGTCACCGCCCCAGCCCCTGCACAGACGCGCGACGTCGCAGGCTACTTGCTCGTCTCGCAGCCAACACAGCAAAGCTGGGTGCATCGCGGTATAGAAAGGGCTCGAGGCTCTATGATCTATAGAAGCTTATGCCACGAGTGATCCGTAGCAACGAGTCATTGCTCCTTCCACAATCTCGCTGATGCTCGCCTTCTGCGTCACTTCACAGCTACCGGTATTACAATAGGGTCCCTTGGTGAAACGAAATCATGCTTCTTTGTGGTGACACATTCCGAATGGGTCACCACATTTGGCCAAATGGGCCATTCGACCAAGGGCATTCGACCGATCACGCCGCACTGTTGGGTCCTACTGCACTGTACGTACGTGCTAGAGGAGCTGCTAGAGGCACGCTGGCCCTCATGCAAGGATTTATTCCATTGCCCTCATGGCTGGTTTTGGCGGTGCGAAGCATGCTAGATACCTTGGTAGGCGTGGTACGCGTGGTGGCCATAACGCTCCATGAACCGGGGTCCAATATTCCGATTGCCAGGAGGTCGACGGAAGCACATGTCCATCTCCAAGCCATCAATGCATAAGACTCTCGACAACAAAACCTACTGAGTTAGCTTTTTCCGCTACGCTAGCGCTTAAAGCTCGTCGTGGTCCTTGCCGTGGGCTTCGCCGCCGAGGCTGAACTTCTTGGCGTTCTTCTTGAGGAAGTCCGTGAAGCCCTCGACCTCGCGCGCGCCTTCGTACGTGACCGGGTTGGCCTTGTCGTTGGCAGGGAAGAAGATGATCGTGGGGAAGCCCTTGACATCGACCTTGGGGTGGTCAATCTCGTTCTCCGTCGCATCCATCTTGGCAATCATGATGCTGTCGACCTCCGAGAAGGCTTCGGCGAGCTCGTCGTACTTGGGCGCAAGCGTCTTGCAGTGGCCGCACCACGGCGCGTAGAACTCGAGGAGGACATCCTTGTCCGAATCCATGACGCGCGTCTCAAACTCCTTGCCCGAGATGACCTTGACGGCCTCCTCGCTGTCATCAAACGGCTCGGCCGACTTGAGCGTCGGCTTGAGGTCGCCGGCGAGGTACTTGGCCTCGAAGGCCTTGAGGTCCGCGCTCGTGAGCTTCTCCGTCAACTCGGCCGCCTTGGTCGGGAACGGGAACTTCTTCATGCCAGCGCCCATGTTGACGAGGATCATCGACGGAAGGTCGGCTTCCTTGAGGCCGAAGTACTCGACGATGCGCGACTCCGAGAGCGGGATGACGACGTGCAGGATCTTGCCCTTCGTGTCGGCAGCGGCTTCCGTGACCGACTCGAGGACCGTCTCGTGGTAGTCCTTGGACTCATCCGAGAAGACGAGGAGGTGGACATCGACGTCACCGCCGAAGATCTGCGAGGCCTTGTCCTGCGTGAACGTCATAACGAGGGGCTTGTGGTGCTCCTTGATGAAAGCCGAGATCTCGGCCTTCTCAAAGGCGCCGCTGAAGACGGCCTTCTTGTCGTCGAACTTCTTAAGGAGGACGATCGAGCCCTCCTTCAAGTCGGCGTGGACCGACGCGTCGGTGGTGGCGACGATGACGGCAATGTCTTCGGCGTCGGCGACCTTCTCGAGGAGGTCCTTCTGCTCGCCCGTGGCGGCGTCGATGTGGGCGATGACAACAACGTCGTTGGCAGCCGTGAGCTTAGCGAGGTCCGCCGCCGAGTCGATGACCTTGACGGCCGGGCCCGACTTCTTGATGACCCACTTCTCAATGTCGTCAGCCGTGCGGCCGCTGTCGTAGGCCTTGACCGAGCTGGCATCGAGGTCGCCCTTGAAGAACTTGAGCGTCGGGAATCCCTGCACGCCATACTTCTCCGACCACTTGGTGTGGGCGGTGGCATCCATCTTGGCGAGGCGGAGCGGCGGGTCGTTCTCCTTGAGGGCCTTGGCGGCCTTGGCAAACTCGGGCGCGAGCGACTTGCAGTGGCCGCACCACGGCGCGTAGAACTCGACGAGGAGCGCGTCGTTGCCGGCAATGGCCTCCTCAAAGTTGTCATCCGTGAGCACGAGGACGTCGTCCTCTTCTTCGATGGCGCCGCGAACGGCGGCGACGCCGAGGACGAGCATGGTCGAGACAGTGCCGAAGAAGCGCATCTTGATGGCGGTCGGCAAATGCAGAAGTGAGCGATTCGCGATGCGATATCCTGGGATCGCACGTTTATATGCAAGAAGGTATGCCACTCACGCCTTCTGAAATCCGCATATGCAAAACCACCTGTGCTGGAGCGATAATCACCCGATTTCGGATCCAACGCACGCATTTATGCAGCAAAAGGTGTGTTGCATAGAATTCCATAGTGTAGCCGACACGTGGACGACCACGTGGCAATCCCATACTCAAGCGCAGTCGAAGCCGCGGCGAATCTCATGTGCGCTCGTTCTGCGATGCCATTGGTGCATCGACATTTTTGTTTTGACCAATGGCCTGCCGTCAAGTGGCAAGATCGGGCTTCCATGCGCAGCGCGATCCATGCGAGACGTGCGAGGTCCTATCTACGAGCGCCGCCAAGGGCGTCCTTGATGCACGCACAAGCAGCAGCAACACTGAGGCCGGACCCTGGTCGGAGGTGCCATATTCGTCGGCAGCACTGTCACGACCATGCATACCAAGCACACTGCAACCCATCGCGTCCAAGAATGATCGCGACACCACGTGCAGACACATGCACGACGTCTCACAGGACAAGCAGCGGTATCGCGCAGTGGCGTGCCGTCGACAATATGGCTTGCCACGAGGTACCTGTGCATCCTGTCGTGAGGCACAGCAACATGGACGAGCCTCAAAGAGGTACGCACGCTTGCTCACAGGATACAGCGCGCGTAGCCGCACCGAGGACACTGCAGTGACCCGCTTACCCACGAGCCCGATGGATAACGTTGGGGAGTTGGACATGACAGCCTCGGTCTACGTCGCGTCTCCAAGCGCTGCATCCAGCCTACATATAGCAGCGGTGGGTCTGCCGCCCATGGCGGCATCGGCCACGACGGATGCCAGTCGCGAGCTCGTTGCCATCTGCGGCGACGGCAAGCCGCGGCGCCGACGACGCGGTGGGTAGCTCACGCATTACAAAAATAAATCGCGTTGTGAGCAGCTCGTCAACCGGACATTCTGTCCGGATAATGTCGACAAGGAACGTTGTCTAATTGTTTCACCTCGCAATTACTAATTGCTCTATACCGGGCGCGTCATAATAATATTCCTACATTTTAATAGACTATTTCCGTGTCAATGATACTTGTAAAAATATAGTGTATGCTTGGAGCCAGAGCCCGCCTGTCCGCTGCTTTGTACGCCGGCGCTTATTGAAGCATGCAATGGCCGAGTAGCTTTGTCCTCTTCGTGCGCCTGGTAGCAGCAGGGTGGTGGCGACGGCGGGCGACGATAGCAGTGCTTGCCAGCTCGTCACGGCAGCAAGATGCATCAATCGAGGCAAGCGAACGAGGCTATCATTGGAAGCTAGGACATGCCCGAACGACGCTCCAATGCACGATCCCACATGTGGTGGGAAGGAGCGCGCGATGTTGACTTGAAGAGGCCGAATGCACACTATTTGCGTTGTTGTAGGGATGTGATGGAAATACGCGATGTACGAAGAATAAAAAGCGGAATTTAAAACCCCCGGGTGTGTTGCTCGAGGGAACAATAAGAAAGAGGCCCGATGACATCCAAGGACGTGGCCGAGATGCAGCGACGCATGCGGCAGCTCGAGGTCGAGAACGAGTCGCTCAAGCGCCTCCACAGCGTCGGCGCCCCGATGTCCAAGCCCTCGGCCTACCCGCGCAGCGTGTCTACGGACCTCTACGGCGCTGGCTCGGTGCTGACGAGCCCCGCCCGGGCGCCGTACATGCCGAAGCGCGGCAGCGGCACCGACCTCTTCCAGAGCGCGATGACTGCGGCGCCTCTAAGTAACGGCCCGCTACCTGCGTCGTCGAGCCAGAGCGACCTCGTGGCCATGGCAGCCGCGGCCTCGCACAAGTCGCGCCAGCTGCGCAGCCGGCCGGGCTCGGGCCAAATGCCTTTTCCCGCCAACAGCATCCCGCCCAGCCACAGCTGGACGACGCTCGACCAGCTGGACCAGCAGCGCCGATTCACAGAAGAGCCAGCCAACACCATTCGCATGCCGCCGCCGTCGGCGACATCGCAACCGCCCTCGTCGGCCGCGTCGTATCCTGGCAACTTTGACGACGTCGAGGAAGACGACAGCAGCTCGATTGGCCTCGACCTCGACGACCCGAATGAGCACCTGGATCGACAGCAGATCATCCAGTCGCACTCACAGGGCTTTGACAATGACGACGAGGAGGACGACGACGACGACGCGAGCAACTCGAGCCTGGCCGTCGACGACGTCCCTGGCTTTGCCTTCCAGCCGCCCGTACGCGCCAACCTCGCTGCTTTGCGTCAAGACGAAGACCACTTTCGCACGCACAGCGAACACGACACCAAGCCCCGGGGCTTGTTCCCTGCCCCTGTCGTCGTCGCACCGGGCGGCGGCCAATTTAACAGCGCACCGACGCCGGCCACGTCGTCGCGGCAGTTCAAGAACCACAAGAACCACAACCACCACCACCATCACAACCATGGATCGAACGCGGTGACGTCCCCGCGCGGTCCGTCCGACGACGACTCGCCGCCGCTGCCCGCCAAACACCGCCGTCACCACGCCGAGAAGCCGCCGAAAGCGTCCATCGAAGGCGCGACCAAGTTTGCCTTCCCGACCAGCGGCACGCGCCAAGAAGGCGACATCTCCATCTGGGTCGGCACGTGGAACCTTGGTGCTGCGGATCCGTTCGCGGACTCGAACGGTCTCATGGACGAAGCGCAGTCGTCGCGTATGGTACGACGCATCAATATCCGCACGACCACTTGGATTTCTCATATATTTCTGATGGCGTAGGTGCGTAATTTTGTGCCGCACGGCTACGACTTGTACGTGCTCGGTGTCCAGGAAGGCGTGAGCGAAAACGTCTACCACGCGGTGCTGAGCTACCTCAACACGAACCCGTCGCGTGGACGCTACTGCCGCAAGGAGCTGCGCAACGACAAGTTTGCATACCCGCTCAAGGCCAGTCCCGCCGACGCGGTCTTTGATGCGGTCCGCGGTCGCGGCGACGGCGCGTTCATGGGCACGAAATTCACGGGCCTTGCGCTCTTTTACGCCGAGACGGTCGCCGCCGACGTCCAGCTGCTCCGCGCCGGCGTCCACAAGTTTAGCATCGCGTCCGGGTCCAAGGGCGGCGTCGCGATCGGCCTCAAGCTCAAGTACACGACGCTGGTCTTTGTCAACTGCCACCTCGATGCGCGCAACGACACGTACCGGCGCGAACAGATCCGGATCCTCAACACGCAGCTCGGCAAGGTCATGGGGCACCCGTACTTCGACTTGACCGAGCAGTTTCACCACGTCGTCTGGATGGGAGACCTCAACTACCGCATCGTCAACATGGACGCGTCCGACGTGCTTCGCCTCTTGTCGGCCAACAAGATTGAGGAGCTCCACGAGCGCGGTGACGGGCTCCTCAACGACCGCAAGCACGGTATCTTTGAGGGTTTTATCGAGCCGCGGAAATTCCCCGACTTTTACCCGACATACAAGAAGTTTCCGCTCCGCGGCAACGTCGACATGAACATGCCCGACTGGCCCGAACGCGTGTACCGCACGCTGTACAAGGAGCCGTTCTACAAGGGCGGCCAGGTCAAGAAGCGCGTGCCGGGGTGGTGCGACCGCATCCTTGTCTACTCGACGCCGATCCGCAACTCGTACTTGGCGGCGGAGAAGGTCGAGTCGCCGTTCGCACCGGGGAAGCTCATCGACAACTACAAGAGCATCAACGACGGCATGGGCATGGACATCTCGGACCACTCGCCGGTCAGCTGCACGTTCCTCCTCAAGTTTGTGCGACCGCCCATCGTCCAATCCACGACGGGCCACACCAAGCGCGCGCTCGGTACGCCTTTGAATTGTTTCTGTATCAACGTATCAACAACACATGTCTAGTCACGGCCAAAGACGTGTTTGGCGAGGCGTACGTCGACCTTCGCGCCAATGTGCGGCAGCAAGGACCTTCGTACGGCCTCCACGCAGGCGGCCCCATCACGACGGTCCTCACGATCTTCAACATGGTTGTCATGTGGAACAACCATTTGCACGTGCCCAAGAAGACGCGCATCGTCGCGCCGCTTCTCGGCGAAGACGACAGCGGCAAGCAGACGGAAGCGATCGGTGAGCGCACGGCGACAGTCACCAACATGGCGAATCTCTCGCTCAACGTCAAGCTCCAGCACGAGCGCGGCTTGCAGGATCTGCACATGCTGGTCTGGGTCCGCCACGAAAACGTAGTTGGTCACTGCGTCGTGTCGCTCCGGCGCGTCGCCAACCTCGGCACCGACGGCGAGCTCCCCGAAGCGCGCTACAAGGCGAATCTGACCAACAACGCGATGCCGGTCCTCCTCGAAGGCTTCCCCGTCAAGATCGTCTTCGCCGTCCGCAGTAATGTCTTTACATCGCGGGGCTTATAAGAGGCCAGGACGAGATTACCGCTGCAATATATGTATTTTGAACTTTGTCGAGGATATGCCCACCAAGCCCGACACTCGGCCTTGCCGAGTCGGTTGGACGCTCGTCAAGATAATCGACAGGTAGCATGGACGCTGGCAATCGGTTCGTAGTCGGCATAGTATTGCCACCGACTGCGTATTTAGGCGCGGAGGAGCGGCCATTGCGATCGGCTGCGACGTGTACAATTGAGGCTGCAGTCAATGAAACCATTTGATTCCTGCGCCACGCCGGGATCTAGCGCATATCGAGGATCGCAGCTCTCGCGTGTAAATTAATCATGCCATCGAACGACCTGTCTCGAAGTAGCCACCACGTCCTTGGCAAAGCACTTTATTCTGTGGGCCGCGGCCCGTCATCGCCCGATGGATGCGTTGCGCTCCAGGCTCCAGCAGGCGGCAAGTAGGTCCTCCGTGCATCCTCCCGAGTGAAGCGTTGTAGAAGTAGAGAGCAAGTTTTGAGGAGGAATTGATACGTCTTGGTGTTGAATACTATCATTTTGATGGAAATGGTCTACTTCTAATCGATATAAAGATGTCGTAGGCGCATGCGGTTTGTTCGCAGCGAGCTGCAAAGTCACCAAAGCACACGCATACATTGCTATCGGGAGTTTGTTGAGGGAGAATATCCATCGGGTGTGATAAATCCCGAAGAAGGTCCCAGATTCTTTAACTATCGCAATCATTGATGAAATGTAACCTAGGCACCCGAGGTTCTCCCAAACGGACGTGGGAAGACCCTTGAAACTATGCCGGCCAGATCTGCTTTCGGCAGGATTTGGAGGGAGTGTGTTCATTCACGAAATATATCGTACACCTCCTAATGAGTACCTGCCCGTAAATGTATATCGATGTAAAATGAAAGATCGTGGGGATGATCAGGGTTAAAAAGCTCTTAGATGGTTAGTCAACACGTAAGCTTCAGAGTTGGATTATCTGTATGACATCACGCCATCCCCGGAATGTATTAAATAGATCAAAAGCACAAGTCAGAGCAAGGATGATAATGTTCTCGTCACAGACCAAACCTTTAGGCTGGATCAGAGAGATTCCCATTTTATCAAATTCATCACTCTTGTACACACAGGCAGAGAAGATATCGTGTAAAATAAATCGATTGGAGATCAGATAGGAGCGAAAGACATTGCTGATGTTAGTTCATCATAAATTTTCAGTTGAACTATGCATATTCAAATCATCAAGTCGCCA